TTATGTTTAAACACACACAAAATTTACTTCTAAATGTACTAAATACTCAGCCAACGCCCAGTTGCAAGTTTTTTAAAAGTGCAGTTGTGTAGCTTTTTAATAGCTGTTTAATACTTTTTAGTTAAGCCTCACCATCAATCTGCAAACACCGTTCTGCATTTTACTCAACATTTAATTAACTTAACTTTAACGCTAGTAAAAAAATCAAATAATCAATTTTGTTAGTTTTTTAAACTTAGTTTTTTGTAATTTGTTAGCAACACATTTAAATTTATTTTTTTGTTGTGATTAAAAAAATTAAATTAAGTAAGTCGACAATTCTTAATTTTTGTCATTTTAATAAATGTGTTTTAATTTTTTCTAGAATTAAAAATGTCGTTTTGGAAAACTTTATTTATTATTTTTATTTTTTCTTTTTCTTTAATTGACACACAACCCAATACATGCAAACGTGCAGGAAATTTTAATGATCATCCAACTAAACGCCTTAAAATTTTGCACAATTTACAAAACCCTTTTCAACTAAAATCATGCGAAAATTCAAAAAATTCAATTTATCTTCAAAAATTGGCAAATATTAAGTTTTCAAATGAAAAAGTATATGGATATCATAAAGAAAACGCCGAAACCATGTTTGAGAGCCAACAGTGCAAAATTCAAAGTTTTAACAATGACAAAGAAATTTTTAAATCTATGGAAACAATAAGTAACTTGGAGTTTTTTAATTTAGTTTCAAGTAGAAAAATTTTATATTAAACAATTCTTAATGTTTTTGCACACCATGATAAATATAATGATAAACCTGATAGTCATCAAAAACGTTTTGCTAATATACGTTCTTACAAAAGTTATTTTATTTTTACAATTACGCAAGGAATGGAAACAATAATTAATAAATTAAAACAACTTGATTTTAACAAAAATTTTAAAAACATTTTGTCTGAATCTGAATATCAAATTTTAAAAACAAATTTGATCTATGTTGGTGCTGGACAACCCTCCAGACCATTTGATCATGTTGTTCAAACAAATAACATTTTACTTGGTAAATATGTAAATAATCCTCAAAAACTTCATTTATTTTTGGCCAGAGGAGTGATCCAAAACCAATTCAGCAAAATAATGATAGTTTCGTTTTTTGGCTCCAACCACTACCCAGCTGTCCTTTACAGTGAGCAAGCAACAGCTTGGGTGCTCAGAGATCATATTATAAATGAAAAAAACCATATGGAACTTGGAAAACTAAAACATAAGCTTTGTGTTGAGCCAAGTTATCCTGAGCTTTATCTGAAAAACTGTTTTTCAACTCAAGCGTTGCAGTTTGTCGCCGATTACAATGTCGAAGCTGGCATTCGGCAAATTGGAAAATTCGGAAAAATTGTATCGCTAACAAATCCAAAACAAGAAAAGGTTTGGGAAAATGAAGTTAGTTTTAAGACTCAGCCTTACATCGATTCGACTTTTAGTGTGGCAAAAAACACTACTTTATTTTATCGATTTGGATTGCCATTTTATGACATAAAAAATATTAATCTTGCAACTTTAAATTCAAAAATACCAATTGAACTCCTACCATTTGCTGAAAAAAATTATAGAAGAATGTTTCCGTTTCATAAAATTGATTTTGTTTTTAAAGAAGGCGATTGGATTGAAAGAGTTCGGCTTGCAAATGAAATTGAAAACAACTTGGTAAGCATTTTAATAAATAAATTGTACTGTTTTATAATTTTTTAAATATTTTAAACATAGAAATCATCGTTGTCTGCTTATCCTCCTCTTTTAAATGCAGCATTTCAAGGTAAATTATAACAAATATTTAATTTTTATTTTAAAATTAACACTTTTTTAATTTTAGAACTTAAAAATACTTTAATTTACCTTAAAGCTGAAAAATTGGACCAAAAATTCAAAATAACTAAGATAATTGACAATCATTTTGCGTTTAAACTGTCTTCTTTATTAATACAAGTACACGCTGAATTGACTGCCGCAAAATACAGACAAAGTTCAACTAAATGCACTTATTTTGAAACGCAATTAATAACAATGTTTCATTCTTCGTTTGAACATTTACTTTATAATAAATTAATTGTTGACAATCCAAACGTTATGCACAAAGGAGAGGAATCATTTGAACCAACCTGGTCTAATTTCAAGTTAGGAATTCCAAGAAAGTTTACTAATAAAAATTATAAAAAACAACAAGCTAAAGTAAGATTTTTTGTTTTTATCTCAAAATAATATTAACATTGAATTTTATTTAAAGAAAAAGAAAAAGCCTACTGGAAATAATGACCGTGAGTTTTTTATTTGAAATTTAAATGCAATTTTTAACCAATTTGAATATTTTATATTAGTTGAATGCAAATATTGTGGGAAAATTTTTAGCAGTAACCAAAAGCTGCAAAAACATCGTGAATCAAGAGAAGGCGCAAAAATTTATTCGTGTCCTGTCTGCAGAACTAAATATACAGCAAACAGTTATCTGCAAAAACACGAAAACACTGATAACCATATACTAATGTCACTTGGACAGTTTGTTCCACACCATCCACAAATGCTAAGTGATAATTTAATTGGCCAATTTAAATGCCCTTATCACGATGATTCAAACCCACATTATTTCGTTTTAAAAGAAAACTGCGCAGAACATATAAAAACGCACAAAAATCCAAAACCAAGTGAGCCTATTGACCGGTTGGATGGAATGAACTGCAAAAACTTAGGAGTTTACACTTGCAACTATTGTCGGTTTAAAACAAACTCTCTAGAATATGCACAATTTCATCTTAAAGCAGTTCACGAGAAACATTTGATCAAACCAAACACTGCTGATAATGGTGTTTATAATTGGAAAAAAAATGTAAATCTTCATTTTAAAATTTGTGGCAGTAACGAAGCGTATAGCAGAGGAAATTTTGAATGCAGTTTCTGTGAGTTATCATTCCCTAAAACAGGTGATGTTATTCAACATTTGGTTAGCTCCTCTCATATCGAAGAATACAAAAATGCAACAAATGGTATCATAAAAAACGAATTACTGACAGCAGAAATTGCTACTAAAGCACTTGAACTAATTAATAAATATAAAACTACAGTATATACCGATATTAAAGGAAACAAGGATGATACAAATTTTTNAAAAAGCAACAAAAAACACCAAAAACTGGTTTTGGCGTATTCCCAACAACAACGGAGAGTACCGAAATGAAGGAAAATGTTATCAAAACAAAAATTCATGTTTCGATCACATAGCAAGATATAAAAAAAATGAGTTGGTTAATGAGTTTTTGCAAAATGATGCCTATTCCTTGGAGGTCAAAACAGAATACACTGAATGGATAAAAGGCGATAAAATAAAAGAAAGTTTAAAAAAAAGTAAGTAAAAAATTTTTAGATAGAGGTATTGGTGTCAAAGCAAATATATTTTTAAAAGCAGAAAAATACTATTTATCGGGCTATATTTTAATGATAACTTTTAACCAAAATCATTGGTTTAAATTTTTTTAAGTAGAAAAGTTGTCTTAGCTGATAATATTTTTTGTTTTTAAAAATAATTTTGTTTTGAAATTGATACTGGCATGTCAAAATTTTTAACAAAATTTTTTATTTGCCCTATAGGAGTACAAAAACGAAAAAATAAAAAACTTGAATCACACTTGGATTTTCATACAATTGAAATATCTTGGATTTCAGGAAGAAAAAGTTTTCACAATTTTGTTACTGAAATAAAAAAATTTAAATTAACTCACACTAAGGAAGCCCAAACTGATAACACAATAGTTATTCCTGACGATTGTGAACAAAAAAACAAACAACATACAAAAATAACTACAAATAATCAGCCTATCTCTAATCAACCTATCTCAAATCAACCTCTCCCTAATCAGCCTATCTCTAATACTATTCCTAAAAACCCAACTAATCAAAATTTTTTTTCAATTTTTAATCAACAAAACAATAATCAGAATTCCATTAACACAGCTAAACAAATCAATAAAGACCCACCCAAGAAACCAATAAACAAGCAAACAAAAAAAACCAATCAAAAAGGGACCGCTCCTAAAGTTCCAACGATATTAGAAACATGGCTAATCAGATCAACTGTACCACCAACTTAATCATTAACATTTTTTATTATTTTTTTGTAATTGTAATAAAATACTTTTAATCTTGTAGTGCACGTGTCTCGGTGAGGTGCTGGCGGTCAGAGACCTTTGCTAGTACTAGCAAAACGGTTTGTCGAGCTTTTAGTGGCAGATGCTTTTATTAGAAAGTGAGACAAATGAAAGGCAGACTAAAACANTGGCAGATGCCTTTATTAGAAAGTGAGACAAATGAAGGGCATAATAAAACAATGAACAGTAGTTCAATTAAGTGAGCGAAATACAATAAGTACAGTCATTGCAGTGGTGTCAGTGCTTAAGTTGTCGATGACTAAATCAGTGGAGAACAGTCGAAATCATCGATGAACTTTGAGCCAATGAGAGGAAAAGACGAGTGTGAACAGCGATAGACGGAAGTGGTTGCTAGGTGGTGTCATGGCTGGGCATAACGCTATTGTAATGTCCTTGTTTTGATGACGGTGGTCGATCCGGCCAGGCAGTGCGCGTTGAACAAGTGTAGCTGCCATTGAATGTGCCCAGTTTGTCTGTTTGAAATAAGTGAAGCATAATGGGTTTAAAATGTTTATGCTTGCATTGCTAATTGACAAAGTTGCGACTGCCACTGGTTAAAAGTCAGTTACCGCTTTACAGCGTTTCTCATTTTGAGGTGCTCAGGCTAAACTAGAAGCCAATTGAGGAATGGACTTTGCGCATACACATATATACTGCAGGGTGGGATGCCAAACATTGCAAAGTGTGGCGCACTTTAAGTGAATAAAATCCCGATGCATAACCTAAAAAAGATTCTGGGACAAAAGGATTTGAGATAAAAAGGATCCTGGCAGGATCCTGGTAGTGTCCTGGTGCGCCAGGGGGTAAAAAAGAACCGGATTCAGGGAGTAATGGGGATCGAACCCATATACTCTTGATTCGAAGTCAAGCGCCTTATCCATTAGGCCATACTCCCGCTGCTGTTGAAGATGAGTACTGGTATCCACGCTTTAAAAGGCATGCTCTATGATGATCGCTTCACTTTCCTGCCTGACGACCAACTGAGTACACGTAACACCATCTGTCTGCCTTAGAAGGTAGAGCTGCCTGAGCCACAATGTTTACAGTACTACTAGTGCCAATTGGATTGAGGATTCAAGATGAAATAAATCATGAAAGCGTTTCCGGTCAAAAGAAGTTTAGGTTTTAAAATCTTTTTTCATTTGAAGTTTAAACTAGCTCTGATTATTGTCTGAATTGGTAGATTTAATACATAAAGCATTGACTTTCACCCATTTTTCCAACATAAGTTTCATCACAAAGTAAATGCAAATTAATTTTATTATGCATTTTCAGTCATTTATTGACAGCAATTAAATAAATATGACTTTTTTGTCAATTAGGAGAAAGATCAACAGA